AGAGTGAGAAAATAGCCTTAGCTATAGGTTGTTTTCGTTCTAATGCTTTGAATTGGTGGAAGCTAGTTTCAAATATCTATTCGCATTATTGGTTTCGTAATTTGGATGATTGGAATGATTTGAGAAGTGCTTTGCGAGAAAGATATGCTGGTACTAACACCTTTGATGAAGCAAAAGTGAAGTTGCTCAATTGTAAGCAGAATGGTAGATCCATTAAATCTTACTTTGAGGAATTAGAGGGGTTGTTTCTGAGTTCAGAAGTGGATGAGAACGACTACATGTTGACAGACCGTTTCCACTATGGCTTGGACAAGTGTTTCAAACAACATCATAAGGAGACAATCAAGGCTCTATGAGGCATACTATGCTGCCTTAGAAGTGGAAAGAGAGCATGATACTTCTTGTGGTTGGAATGGTCCAATTTAGGATCAGGGGTTGGTGTTTGGCGCTGAAGATGGAGATCAACGGACTTGTATCTTCCGTACTAAGTGTTGGGTTGGGTGGTCCAATGAAGTTGATTTGGTAATCGACGGTGGGTCGAGTACTGATTGTGTAAATGAGGAATTTTGCATAGCAAACGGAATTAAGATGGATCCGCATACTAGACCATACAAGCTTCAATGGTTGAGTGAAGAGATGGTTGTGGATGTTACTAAAAAGGCCATGGTACCTTTTCAGATTGGTGAGTATAGGGATGAAATTTATTTTGATGTAATTTCTATGTCTCTTTGTGATATTTTGCTAGGTAGGCCTTGGCAGTCAGATGTAGATGCTGTGAACCATTGCTCAAAGAATATCTTTGTCTTTACTAAAGAGGACAGAAAATACATTTTTAAGCCTTTGGCTTATGAAGAATCTGAATCTGTGTGAGAGAAAAGACGTAAGATAACCTATACACAAGGGAGAGAAAAAGTCGAGCGAGTGACGCAAGAAAGTAAAAAGGGTTATGATGAGGTAAGACTTGAGGCGAGAGAAAACCATGAAATTAGCGTGGAAACAGAAAAAAAAATGCACGCAATGAGAGAAAATTAGAGTGTGGTGAGGGTGGGGATTTTACTAACCCTTATAGAGGTATAGAGGTTGATGATTCGAGGACGAATCCTCTTAAAGAAGGAGGGGATGATGAGAATCATGTAGCCTTCCATGGAGGTTCTCCTAATGAGGGGAATGAGTTAGTCCTTCATTCTAGATTTGGAATGCCAAGTTTACTTTGCAGGCCAATCAAGGAAGAAAGGATGGATCTTGACTACCTATGTGATAGGGAGTTGGTTCAAGAGAGCTATGATCAAGGTGATGAGAATGTCATTAACTTTGGGGTGCAAATCAAAGGAGATGAAGACCTCATGGAAATAAGTGCTGAAGAGTATCAAGAGAGTTTGACTCTGTGTGCTCAATCATTGATCAAGCTAGTGAGAAGAGTCAATTAGGTTCTTGAATGGATGGCCTATTTGATCAAAGTGTTCAAGATTGAGTCCATTGCTACACAATTGGATAGGTTGCAAACTATCTTAATTGTTTCAAGTGTTTTTCCAATCTTTTAGAGTCAATAAAGAGAATTCTACAAGTTTTGGAGTAAATTGGAGGTTTCTACAACTTAAGGGGCGCAAGACAAATATTCCACTTTTGGAAGGGCGTTCAAGACATTTTACTTCAATAATTTGGAGCTGAATTTCGAGATTAGAGTCATTGTCTAAGTCTAGGAGTTATTTTCGAATTTTTATCTAGTTAAATAAGTCATGTGGACTGAATTAAACTAGAGTGTTTTGATTAGGAGTCTTAGATTCTTTCTAGATATTATCCTACTTGAGGATAAGTCATTTAGATAAGGTTTCCTAGATTTTAGATAGAGTCAAAGAGATCAAGTACTCTTCTACTTTTACTCCTTGGGAGATAAGATTAGAGAGTCCTAATTTGTCTTTTTCTTAGTGGTGCTAGCTGAAAATTCAAGCCTATATATAGGGGACTTGGCCGAATTTTAGAAGCACCCTTGAGTGGTCATTTTTGTTGTCTCTTTTGAGAGTTTTTCCTGTGAGGAATTTTTGTTAAATGGAGTGTCCATTTTTCGTGTCAAGTATGATTAAACCAAGAGGGTTTTCATCTTGTCTTGGATCTTTTTGATCTTGCAGAAACCGTTCTTTTTCAAGTATGCTTCTTGATAGAATTGTTTTAAAACTAAACTTCTTATTTTCATACTAATTCTAGTAGTTCGATTGATGAGCCTTTCCTTTGGCTTGGTGTTCGAATTTCATGATGAGTGTGTTTATGAGATCCATTGTGGGGTTTGTCCTACTTTTGTTGGATGAGTTGTGCTTTGGCATAAGCATTTTGAGATAGTGTATGTGTTGCATATCTTTGGTTGGTTATGAAGATTACTAATCAATAGTATTCCTTCATAGTTGGGCATTGTTTGCTCCTACCTTTCTTGAGTCTCTTGATTAATGACTGATCGAGTATATTGAATGGTGTCCTTGCTATTCTTAGCGTGGGTTGTTGTTTAATTCGAATCTTTCATGGATAGTTGTTCTTTGCTTGGTTTGAGTTAAGAGATAGAATCACTTAAATAAACGATCGTCTTACTGTGAATTTTCCGCACTCTTTTGAGTTTCACGGGATAGACAAAATTATCTTCGTACTTTCTTGTTGATGGTTGCATTAACCAAATTTGCTTCGTCTACGAGATCGCTATCATTTCATGAATTGAAAATCCATAAATTCCATTTTACTCATTAGATTCAAATGAAACCAACAAGAAGGAAGGCTTTTTCATTTATACTTTATGTACAAAGTACAAAATCACTAAGCTTCACCTTTCAAAGAATAGATCCAAGATATTTACTACAAGATAAACTCTCAAATCCTCCTTATGTAATGACATCTCTTTAGAAAGAAAAGGCTATCTCGAGCAAGAAGCTCTTCTTTGGCATCAATTCTCTCCTTAAAGACCCAACACATAAGATCCGCCAACTTGCTCATAGGAGAAACAATTCTCTACTTGCAAATCAAGGATAAATTTCAAGATGTATCGCCCACTTTGATTAGATACCAACGTACCATCATCAAGCTCTCGCATAGACCTCAAAATAACACCACAAGATCAAACAAATGTGTAAGAAGTCTCGCACAACCACACAAAAGACAAGATCAATTTTGAAAACGTAGTTTTCACAAGAATTTGATTTATTTTTTTCAACACCCCATTCCAAAACAAGAAGGAACCTTGAAACAAATAAAGATATTACTACTCGTTAAGTAGCACAAAGCTCGATCACCACACCAAGTAACGGATTCCGTGGTAATTCAAGATATTCTCAAAACCAAGAACCATGAAGTCCTCAACTAAGAAGAAATCTCTCGAAAATCAAACTGATAATAGGAATTGATATGATAATATCAATTAATACCATCACTAAGATAATCCAAGCTCTGATACCAAAAAACTGATAGCAATCTTGTAGATGAAGCAAATTTCATTAATGCAACCATCAACAAGAAAGTACGAAGATAATTTTGTCTATCCCGTGAAACTCAAAAGAGTGCGGAAAATTCACAGTAAAACGATCGTTTATCTAAGTGATTCTATCTCTTAACTCAAACCCAGCAAAGAACACATTATCCATGAAAGATTCGAATTAAACAACAACCCACGCTAAGAATAGCAAGGACACCATTAAATATACTCGATCAGTCATCTATCAAGAGACTCAAGAAAGGTAGGCGCAAACAATGCCCAACTATGAAGGAATACTATTGATTAGTAATCTTCATAACCAACCAAAGATATGCAACACATACACTATCTCAAAATGTTTATGCCAAAGCACAACTCATCCAACAAAAGTAGGACAAACCCCACAATGGATCCCATGAACACACTCATCATGAAATTCGAACACCAAGCCAAAGGAAAGGCTCATCAATCGAACTACTAGAACTAGTATGAAAATAAGAAGATTTGTTTTAAAACAATTCTATCAAGAAGCATACTTGAAAAAGAACGGTTTCTGCAAGATAAAAAAGATCCAAGACAAGATGAAAACCCTCGTGGTTTAATCATACTTGACACGAAAAATGGACACTCCATTTAACAAAAATTCCTCACAGGAAAAACTCTCAAAAGAGACAACAAAAATGACAACTCAAGGGTGCTTAAGAAATTCGGCCAAGCCTCCTATATATAGGCTTAGAATTTTCGGCCAGCACCACTAAAAAGAAGACCAATTAGGACTCTCTAATCTTATCTCCCAAGGAGTAAAAGTAGAAGAGTACTTGATCTCTTTGACTCTATCTAAAATCTAGGAAACCTTATCTAAATGACTTATCCTCAAGTAGGATAATATCTAGAAGGAATCTAAGACTCCTAATCAAAACACTCTAGTTTAATTCAGTCCACATGACTTATTTAACTAGATAAAAATTAAAAAATTGACTCCTAGACTTAGACTAACTCTAATCTCGAAATTCAGCTCCAAATTGTTGAAGTAAAATGTCTTGAACGCCCTTCCAAAAGTGGAATATTGGTCTTGCGCCCCTTACATTGTAGAAAACTCCAATTTACTCCAAAACTTGTAGAATTCTCTTTATTGACTCCAAAAGATTGGAAAAACACTTGAAACAATTATGATAGTTTGCAACCTATCCATTTGTGTAGCAATGGACTCAATTTTGAACACTTTGATCAAATAGGACGTCCATTCAAGAATCTAAATGACTCTTCTCACTAGCTTGATCAATGATCTTCATGGAGCACACAGAGTCAAACTCTCTTGATACTCTTCAGCACTTATTTCCATGAGGTCTTCATCTCCTTTGGTTTGAACCCCAAAGTTAATGACATTCTCATCACCTTGATCATAGCTCTCTTGAACCAACTCCCTATCACATAGGTAGTCAAGATCCATCCTTTCTTCCTTGATTGGCCTGCAAAGTAAACTTGGCATTCCAAATCTAGAATGAAGGACTAGCTCATTCCCCTCACTAGGAGAACCTCCATGGAAGGCTAGATGATTCTCATCAGGACTCGAGCTGCTATATCTGAAAAACTTTATCAGCATGCCATTTTGACTAGGAAAATAAATTCTCTGAAGGATAGCAGTGACGAGGACGAGTCTGATATTGATTTGGGCCCAGATGATCCATCCGCATTGTTAAAAACAGCCAAGGAGAAAACTCTTGAAGCAATGGAAGAGGATGAAGAGTTGCCGAATTCAAGAGTTGCATCTTTGCCTTTCATGGTAGTACTCTGATTCCATTGTGATTCGGAGTTTATTTTTCATTTTGTATTTCCCGTATGTAGGAATATTAAATTGTCACATACTTACTGGATTGAAAAAGAGTGTTGGAATGTGTTACCATGTCTTTGTTAGACTTAGTTTATGAAACTCCTTCTGATGTACCAGGTTCGTAGTTTGAAAAAGAGAAAAGAAGAAGCTGACAGGGAAGCAAGGGCTGCTCTGGATGATTACAATCATTCGTTGAAGCAACTGGAAGATAAGAATGAGAAACAAAATACAAATTCTGATGTTGTCAGTGGGAAAAGAGCTTTTGGTCCTACTAAAAAGCAAATTAAAAAGGTTCAAGATTCTAGTGACAAAATGAGGTCTGATAATTTTTATGGTCACAGTGATAGTGAAGATAGCCTAGAAGGTGTGAAAGATGAGCAGAATCAAAGTTATAATGAGTCTCTTGATATCAATATTGATCAAAATACGCTACTCAATGAGTATGAGATTGGTCATGATGCACTCGGTAAGGTGACATCCCATTCTCTGTTTGTCCCTAATTCTGCAGAATTATTTTCCTTCTGATCTGATTAGGTTGCTCTTATCCCTTTTCAGAGTGATAGCAATCTCGTAGACGAAGCAAATTTTGTTAATGCAACCATCAACAAGAAAGTACGAAGATAATTTTGTCTATCTCGTGAAACTCAAAAGAGTGCGGAAAATTCACAGTAAGACGATCATTTATCTAAGTGATTCTATCTCTTAACTCAAACCAAGCAAAGAACACATTATCCATGAAAGATTCGAATTAAACAACAACCCACGCTAAGAATAGCAAGGACACCATTCAATATACTCGATCAGTCATTAATCAAGAGACTCAAGAAAGGTAGGAGCAAACAATACCCAACTATGAAGGAATACTATTAATTGGTAATCTTCATAACCAACCAAAGATATGCAACACATACACTATCTCAAAATGCTTATGCCAAAGCACAACTCATCCAACAAAAGTAGGACAAACCCCACAATGGATCTCATGAACACACTCATCATGAAATTCGAACACCAAGCCAAAGGAAAGGCTCATCAATCGAACTACTAGAAGTAGTATGAAAATAAGAAGTTTAGTTTTAAAACAATTCTATCAAGAAGCATACTTGAAAAAGAATGGTTTCTGCAAGATCAAAAAGATCCAAGACAAGATGAAAAACCTCTTGGTTGAACTTGACACGAAAAATGGACACTCCATTTAACAAAAATTCCTCACAGGAAAAACTCTCAAAAGAGACAACAAAAATGACCACTCAAGGGTGCTTCTAAAATTCGGCCAAGCCTCCTATATATAGGCTTGAATTTTTCGGCCAGCACCTCTAAAAAGAAGACCAATTAGGACTCTCTAATCTTATCTCACAAGGAGTAAAAGTAGAAGAGTACTTGATCTCTTTGACTCTATCTAAAATCTAGGAAACCTTATCTAAATCACTTATCCTCAAGTAGGATAACATCTAGAAGGAATCTAAGACTCCTAATCAAAACAATCTAGCTTAATTCAGTCCACATGACTTATTTAACTAGATAAAAATTCAAAAATAACTCCTAGACTTAGACAATGACTCTAATCTCAAAATTCAGCTCCAAATTATTGAAGTAAAATGTCTTGAACGCCCTTCCAAAAGTGGAATATTGGTCTTGCGCCCCTTAAGTTGTAGAAACCTCCAATTTACTCCAAAACTTGTAGAATTCTCTTTATTGACTCCAAAGGATTGGAAAAACACTTGAAACAATTAAGATAGTTTGCAACCTATCCAATTGTGTAGCAATAGGCCGTCCACTAAAGAACCTAAATGACTCTTCTTACTAGCTTGATCAATGATCTTCATGGAGCACACAGAGTTAAACTCTCTTGATACTCTTCAGCACTTATTTCCATGAGGTCTTCATCTCCTTTGGTTTGCACCCCAAAGTTAATGACATTCTCATCACGTTGATCATAGCTCTCTTGAACCAACTCCCTATCACATAGGTAGTCAAGATCCATCCTTTCTTCCTTGATTGGCCTGCAAAGTAAACTTGGCATTCCAAATCTAGAATGAAGGACTAACTCATTCCCCTCACTAGGAGAACCTTCATGGAAGGCTACATGATTCTCATCACAGAGTTTTGAGGATATTGTTAAGAAACCAGGCCCCAAAACCACACATGAAGTTGCTATTTTTGCATCCAATTCATGGAAAAAGGTTAGCTTTCTTCAAAAAGTTATGTGCTTTATTTGGCTTATCGAACATTCTGATCGTGTGTTTTCTCGATCATTTGCTGTGACAACAGAAGAAAAAGTTGCCAGAAGGCTCAAATCAGCAGTCCCACCTACGCAGCCAAGATATCTACATCCTTCACTTTGTTATCATAATGATATGTCGCATATGCAACACCACTCAGGAAGGTTTTCGCTTGATCATGTGTTTATATTTCCTGCATTTGTGTAGGGAGACGACGGGGATAGTGACTCGGGCGGTGAAGGACAGATAGTAGATGGGATTTTGTCTTCTAGTCCCCGTTCCACGTATGAACTTCCATCCCAAGAAGAACTTATTTGGCGGGCGTTTGCCAGTGATGTTGCGGAGGAATTTGAAAAAGATAACGAAGAGGTTCTGAATGAGGAAAATCCTGAACTAGAGAAACCATCTCTACTTCCAAGGTGGGGTCAGTGGACTCACATTCAGGAAAAGAAAGGAATTCCTTCCTGGATGCTGAATGAACACGAAATTGAAAAAAAGAAGAGAGAAGAAGAAGTTAAAAAGAGGAAGGATACATATCTAAAGCATGTTATTATATCTGAAACATTGGATAAGAAGGTTTGTTTCTCCTTTCTCTTCATATGTTCAGAGCAATTGTCCAAATCTTGTTTCTTTTTTGCTTCGCTTACTTACTTATTGATGCAATTATTTGGTGTTGGCAGGCAGAAAAACTTTTGCAAGGACATTACCATTCCCATTCACATCCAAAGAAGTTTTTGAATAGAGCATCTGGATGCCCAATGGCCTAGAATTTAATCCTGCTACAGCGATTGGAGCGCTGATACATCCAGAAGTGAGTCTACCTTTTAATTTTGTTGCCTTGTTTTCCCTGTTCAGATTAAGACTTGAACAGAGCATCTTCACTCAACCATTGAAGCTTGTATGGTCTAGTATGCGGATCCATCTTAATTCCGTTTGCTATGCAGAATTCCTCACTTACACAATCAGTACTCGACCCAACGTCGATTACCAAATAAACTTCATTGGACCACCCAACCCAACACTTAGTACGGAAGATACAAGTCCGTTGATCTCCATCTTCAGCTCCAAACACCAACCCCTGATCCTCAATTGGACCATTCCAACCACAAGAAGTATCATGCTCTCTTTCCACTTCTAAGGCAGCATAGTATGCCTCATAGAGCCTTGATTGCCTCCTTATCTTTGGATGTTGTTTGAAACACTTGTCCAAGCCATAGTGGAAACGGTCTGTCAACATGTAGTCGTTCTCATCCACTTCTGAACTCAGAAACAACCCCTCTAATTCCTCAAAGTAAGATTGAATGGATCTACCATTCTGCTTACAATTGAGCAACTTCACTTTTGCTTCATCAAAGGTGTTAGTACCAGCATATCTTTCTCGCAAAGCACTTCTCAAATCATTCCAATCATCCAAATTATGAAACCAATAATGCGAATAGATATTTGAAACTAGCTTCCACCAATTCAAAGCATTAGAACGAAAACAACCTATAGCTAAGGCTATTTTCTCACTCTCTTTCTCTATGTTAAGCAACACAAACAAATTCTCTATGCTCTTTTCCCAAGTATCATATTCTCTATGACAACCATAAAATAAAGGCAATGACACTTGCAACATTCCAGCATACGAGGGTACTTGTTTAACTTCAAAACGATCACATAAGACTCTTAAATTTTCAGCAATTTTCTCAAAACTTATCATAGCTTTATCTTGCTGATTTGAAAGCATGTGAGACAAGTCTCGATTTGCCTCCTTAACCTCGGCCAAAGCATCATGTAGGAAGTCAATTTGACTCTTCATGAGCTGTACTTGAGCCTCCATGCGACCCTCTACACTCTTTGAAGCGATTTGAGTACAACCAGCAACTCCGGATGACATCTTTGCTCAACAATTCTGAGAATCCACCAACAAAAGAAGTAATGTGCCTTGTTTACTACACAAAAACTCCTTGAACCCTAGAACCAAAGTTTGGTTCGGCTGAAACCCCCCCAAGAACCAATGGAAGGTTCAAATAAAACTCTCCCCAAAAACAAAAACTCTCTTGTGCTTTTAAGAACACAACTCTCAAAAATTTCAGAATTAAAGAGAAGAGTGCTTCTCTTGCTTTTCTCTTTTGATCTCGGCAGCAAGAAAGAAGAAGAAAATTGGAGTAGAGTGATGTGAGAATTTTCGAAAAACAGCACCCCTAGTTATAGGTAATGCTAGTCTTTTTGTGCAAGAAAACTCCTACAAGATAGGACCTAAATTTTCTCAAAAATATTCCCCCCTAATTGATGAAGGCTGCTCGACAATGTGGAATAAAGAAGAAGAAAAACCGGCCTCATATCTATAGACAAGGATAGAGTCCTAAACCTTAGGTACACATGTTCCTTTTTGGACACAAATTAGGAAAACTCATCCCTACTTATTAGAGATAAAATTTTCGACCCCCCTACTACTAAAAAGACTCAAATACACGACCACACACATGCACAAATGTATTAGAAGACTAAAAAATTTTCAGATTAGGATAATACTTCCTTATCTTAATAGTTTTCGAAAATAGACTCACTTTAAAACTCTAATTATAATCTCACTGAAATTATAATTTAACACATGCAAAAATTAGTATTTAAATCCAAGTAGGACTTAAATAAAACACACAATAAAATTGTATTACAATTAGGAAACAATGGCTGCAAATTTCAGCCAATGTGAACATAAAAAATCCAAAACCGAATAGGACTCAAATCATAACACAATTTGGACTCAATGACCTTAATTTTAGGGCTAAAATTTTCGGCCATGTGAACACACAAATACAAGACCAAATAGGTCTCCAAGTGTAACACAAATAGACAACCAAAATTCAAGTTCAACTAGGACTAGGAAAACCTAATTTTTAGCGTCACAATTTCGGTTATACTATGACTCTAAAATTCAAAACCAACTAGGCTTAGAATAACACATAAATCACACGCACACACATGCAAAAAGTCAGCAAAATTTCGGCCATTAACCTTTTACCACATAGTTAAAATTTGAAAAATTACTTTTGACTCACTTAAAAAGGAAACTTGAAAATTACCACTTTCCAAAAATGGACAACAACTTTTAGAATCTTTCTAAAAACCCTTTTCCAAATTGTACTTGGAATTAACAAAAATCACTTTTTACCAAAACAATCCATGGCAAATAAAGTAACAAGAACACCATAATTATAATGAAGTAGGAAATTGAAGTTCCTTATTGAATTATGACATTTGCTTCATAATACCAAATTTAACACAAATCATTCTGAAAACTCAATGGCTTAACAATGCCATCTTCATAAGTGACCATTGAAAATCAACTTTCAACAACCAAATATGTAAACTTTGAGAATACATCTCAAAACCTATAAGATTTCTTGTCAAACATTAAGAAAATCTTTTTAGAAAAAACTTCACTCAATTTTCGACCCTACTCTCGAAAATCAAGGTTTTTAAACACAAGTCAAAGACTTCAATCCTTAAAGTTGGCACAATTCAACTTCAAAGACCTTAAACAATTTTGATACCAAAACTGATATCACTAAAATTCATTCCTCATCACTTGACAAAGAAAGTTTTTGACTCAAACTCAAAGTGTAAAACTCGAGAAAACAAGAAACCAACATTTGTTAATTTTGAAAAATTTTTTGACACTAAGATTAAACAAAATTCGGTCTCTATGAAATTTTCATGAATTGAAAATCCATAAATTCCATTTTACTCATTAGATTCAAATGAAACCAACAAGAAGGAAGGCTTTTTCATTTATACTTTATGTAGAAAGTACAAAATCATTAAGCTTCACCTTTCAAAGAATAGATCCAAGATATTTACCACAAGATAAACTCTCAAATCTTCCTTATGTAAAGACATCTCTTTAGAAAGAAAAGGCTATCTCGAGCAAGAAGCTCTTCTTTGGCATCAATTCTCTCCTTAAAGATCCAACACATAAGATCCACTAACTTGCTCATAGGAGAAACAGTTCTCTTCTTGCAAATCAAGGATAAATTTCAAGATGTAGCGCCCACTTTGATTAGATACCAACGTACCATCATCAAGCTCTCGCATAGACCTTAAAATAACACCACAAGATCAAACAAATGTGTAAGAAGTCTCGCACAACCACACAAAAGACAAGATCAATTTTGAAAACGTAGTTTTCACAAGAATTTGATTTATGTTTTTCAACACCCCATTCCAAAATAAGAAGGAACCTTGAAACAAATAAAGATAGTACTACTCGTTAAGTAGCACAAAGCTCGATCACCACACCAAGTAACGGATTCCGTGGTAATTCAAGATATTCTCAAAACAAAGAACTATAAAGTCCCCAACTAAGAAGAAATCTCTCGAAAATCAAACTGACAATAGGAATTGATATGATAATATCAATTAATACCATCACTAAGATAATCCAAGCTCTGATACCAAGAAACTGATAGCAATCTCGTAGACGAAGCAAATTTCATTAATGCAACCATCAACAAGAAAGTACGAAGATAATTTTGTCTATCCCGTGAAACTCAAAAGAGTGCGGAAAATTCACAGTAAGACGATCGTTTATCTAAGTGATTCTATCTCTTAACTCAAACCAAGCAAAGAACACATTATCCATGAAAGATTCGAATTAAACAACAACCCACGCTAAGAATAGCAAGGACACCATTCAATATACTCGATCAGTCATTAATCAAGAGACTCAAGAAAGGTAGGAGCAAACAATGCCCAACTATGAAGGAATACTATTAATTAGTAATCTTCATAACCAACCAAAGATATGCAACACATACACTATCTCAAAATGCTTATGCCAAAGCACAACTCATCCAACAAAAGTAGGACAAACCCCACAATGGATCTCATGAACACACTCATCATGAAATTCGAACACCAAGCCAAAGGAAAGGCTCATCAATCGAACTACTAGAAGTAGTATGAAAATAAGAAGTTTAGTTTAAAAACAATTCTATCAAGAAGCATACTTGAAAAAGAACGGTTTTTGCAAGATCAAAAAGATCCAAGACAAGATGAAAACCCTCTTGGTTTAATCATACTTGACACGAAAAATGGACACTCCATTTAACAAAAATTCCTCACAGGAAAAACTCTCAAAAGAGACAACAAAAATGACCACTCAAGGGTGCTTCTAAAATTCGGCCAAGCCTCCTATATATAGGCTTGAATTTTTCGGCCAGCACCTCTAAAAAAGAAGACCAATTAGGACTCTCTAATCTTATCTCACAAGGAGTAAAAGTAGAAGAGTACTTGATCTCTTTGACTCTATCTAAAATCTAGGAAACCTTATCTAAATCACTTATCCTCAAGTAGGATAACATCTAGAAGGAATCTAAGACTCCTAATCAAAACACTCTAGCTTAATTCAGTCCACATGACTTATTTAACTAGATAAAAATTCGAAAATAACTCCTAGACTTAGACAATGACTCTAATCTCGAAATTCAGCTCCAAATTATTGAAGTAAAATGTCTTGAACGCCCTTCCAAAAGTGGAATATTGGTCTTGCGCCCCTTAAGTTGTAGAAACCTCCAATTTACTCCAAAACTTGTAGAATTCTCTTTATTGACTCCAAAGGATTGGAAAAACACTTGAAACAATTAAGATAGTTTGCAAGCTATCCAATTGTGTAGCAATGGACTCAATCTTGAACACTTTGATCAAATAGGCCGTCCACTCAAGAACCTAAATGACTCTTCTTACTAGCTTGATCAATGATCTTCATGGAGCACACAGAGTT